ACTCCAGTATCTTTGCCAAGAAAACCCTAAGTGGGGTCATGAAGAGTTGGACATGACTGAAAGCAACTGAACAACAAAATGCACTTAATCATTTCCTAACTTGTAATATCCATGCATGCCACATGAGCCTAGCTAGAGGATAAATTCCATAATTTGTTGTCTGGTATGTTACAGGAGCTTAAAAAACACTTGCTGAAATCAGAAATACTTACCTGGTATTGGTACAGTTGCCGCATCAAGGGGCAGGAGATGAAATGGTTCCGATGCATTGCTATCACCAAGGACCCGCTGTGCGGGGAATTCAACAGGGCTGACACAGCCTGCAAGAGGCGCACCGCTATACTTGTCACTTGAGGGTTTCCCTGACGGACCTTTGCCAATTCTTGCCCCAAGGCTTGCTGGAGGGCCAAGGAAATAGGGCGGGGGTTTGAATTCTGCCATCGAGGATCAGGGCTCAGTGTAAAGAGCTAGGACAGAAAAGAGGGAAGGAAAATTTTTAGAGCAAAAATAACAGAATGAAGCTAGGAAATACTTCCTTCCCTCAGCACATCAGGGAGATGTTCTAGCCTCATACTTGAACTCCCTCATTCACATTAAGTATTTGGTACAATTCATTCAACCCAGTTTTGACTGCCCATGCCCTTTCATTCATGAGCCTAAGCTTATCAAACTCCATGAACCTGCTCTATCTCCAAAAAAGTACATTTGCACATAAATGCACAAAATGAGTAAGCAAGGTGAATCAGAGCTACTAAAACAAAGAAGAAAAACTGACCTCACGGGCATAACTAAGACTTGGTGAAATGAGACCCATAGCTGGATATGGCTCTACAAGGATGTATCTTATTCAAAAAGAACAGAGTAAGTAAAAAGGAGCAAGGGGAGCAGAACAGTATATATTATGATCAATTCACGTAAAGGAACCCAGGAGCCAAAGCAGGGAAGCATGATGGAGAACACTCAGCAACCATCAAAATAGGCAAAAATAGAAGCAATACTGTCATTGGAGTATATTATCACTACATAGACATAAAAAAGAGAAAGATAATGAACTAAGGAAATAGATCACAAACTCAGCTCGCTCACGCGTGCTCTCTCTCTCTCTTCCTCTTCCCTCCACTCCCAAAACATAGCAGCTAATAATTTCCTGAGTTGTATTAATGATCCTTTAAAGGTAATCAGTAAGGGAAACTTTTATTCTGGATCTGCTTCTCACCAACAAAGAAGAGGAAGTGGTTGATAAGGTGAAATTATGGGAACCGTGGAGAAATGACCACACTTCCATTTTAGAATATGTGATAATGAAGGAATTCTAGCACAATCTGACATGTACTATAAATTTGGGGAGAAAAGACTTCAAAAGGTTTAGAAAAAGGACATATAGGATCATGTGAACTGAAATTCTGCAGGGAAAATCAATCTAAGAGAAATGGAAACATCTCAAAAAATGAAATTCTGAAAACACAAAGTGAAACACTTCTAATAAGGAAGAAGGGAATGTCTTTTTCAAAGAGACTGATGTTAATGTATATGGAACTCATCAACAAACTACGAATTTAAGAAAAAGTGAATGGAAGATGGAAGAGCAAGGTGATGGAGAGCACATAACAAAGTATGGCCTGTTCCTGAAAGAAGAGATAAGCTATCTGAAAAGATCTGGAGATTTTAGTGATTTATAAGCTCCATATGGGTTGCCAACCCCCAAAGCCAATGCAATCTTAGGCTATACTGAGAGGCCCAGCGTCAGGGTCTTGGTAGGTGACAAGCCCTCTCTAGTCTACCTTAATCAGATCATACCTGGAACAGTATTTAGTTCTGGCTGCCAAATTTTAGGAAGGACAATAAGTGAGAGTGTCCAGAGGAAGGCTACTAGTATGGCAAAGGGCCTTAATATCATATCATATATGAGACTGATTGAAGTAACTGAGGAGGCTCAGCTTCAAGAAGAGAAGGTTTAGGAAGGGAATGATAGCTGTCCTTACAATATTTGAAG